AAATCTTATGGTTTTTATTATTCCCATTCAATATTACGATGTCAAGCGTATGACATCGTTTCAACAATATTTTGGCTTACTCGTATATTCATTAATGCTATATAACTTCACAATTTGTTGATGAAGCGTTGAAGTTTTCTAACCTTTTTCAGAAAACTCTTTGTTGATATGATATAATTGAATAGCATCCATGTGGATGGAATCAATTCAAACAACCTATCTCGAGATATTTGTCTAAAAATGTAATGACAGACAGACTGGGAATTATTGTCAACTTTGATGAACAAGGCAGTATTTTCATGTTCAGAGGGCAAAGGGGTAACTATATCAAAAGCATGATTTTGTAATCTATACACCATTTGATAACGGAGTGTAGCTACAGTGGCTGTTTCAATTTGCTTGGTTCCTATAATTTGTAATTCGACTTTGAAAGCAGAACTCAAATGGGGGTCTTTGATTGGGATATTAAAGTTTGGAAAAAAGGTAACAAAACTAGTGCCAGCGTTTAAGGTTGTTTGCACAGTTCCGATACAGGCATAATGGTATTCTAAAAATCAGGAATCTAACAAAGCAATCCGGGAAACTGCTTCCATACCTTTTCTTCCATGAAATGTTAAGGCTAATTTTATGGCTCCAAAATGAATATGAGTATACCCATCTTTAAGCCATTGGGGAAAAAGATTTCTGGGTAAGGTGATAGTGATGTATTGTTCAGCTTGGGTAGTAGGGATTTGGTATTGATCAACGGAAGAGGCTTGAACATATTCCTTGATGGTTTCAGGGTTCTTTTTTCCACAAAGTGTTTTTATTCTTTTGGTCCAATTTAAGCTAGATTTATCATAAACATGATAAGGATTAGTTATCTGAGAACTAGTTTCAGAAAACCTGTCAGGAGTATAAGTTATTTCGAAAAGATGTTCTTGTTTAGAAAACATGGGACCTAAATCTGGAGTAGAAGAGGAAACACTATCTAAAGAGATATCTGAGACACTTTCTTCTGTCATTTTTGAAATAATCTACTGTGTTGACTGTAAATTTTTAAAATAAAGGTTAACGCCAACTTTCCTTTTCTAGTTAACAATGTATGAACTCCTTCCACGGCCTTCTTTCCTCAACAAAGCTCCTGTTATGTTAACTTTCAGAAAGTATTGACAGTGGAATAACATCAACACTCTAAATTAACCTTTGATTTATACTATGTTTTCTGATGCGAGAGACCCCGTGGTACTAGTTATTTCAAAGGTCAGGTGGTCATTATGAGTCCATGATTTGGAGACTTTGTAGACCATGCTTTGGATAAAATTAGGCATGAATTTGAGGGATAGTGACTGAAGGTGCTCAAATATAATTCTTTCAACTAGTGCATTGCACTTTTAGCACTTTCTGCTTCCTCTTTTCGGTGATGAATGCTATTTGGATGCGAACTTTGTAGGATCCTTGTGCCGATTTTTATTATAGAGGTAGTGTGCTCCTTTTGTATGTTGGTCTCTTCCGAAACTAAACTAGCCCCCGATGGTTTCATTGTGTACTACAAACTCAGAGCTAAAGTAATTCTCATCATTTGTCTTTAAGAATCCCTATCCACTAGGGCTTGGATAAAGTTATCATTTTGATCTACACTTGAGTTTGTTGGTCGGCTTCTTCCCGTGACCCAAGGCCATATTAGGTGATCTTCAGGCTTGGACATTGATCTTCACTTGTTGACCTTTATCATATTAATATCCACCACAACTCTCTTTATGTTGCTTGGGGGTATTATCTGGCTTCCCTGAGTTTGCCATGAATGAGCCCTATCTACATCCCTGGGCCATTTTGAAGGTGATTCTGAGTTAGTGAGGGCTTCTGGCTCTCCAATCATCAACTCATCAAGGTATTATCAAGTAAGGCTTCATCACGGTCGAGCTCTTACCCTAAATATAAAGAAGCTTCTAACAAAGAAGATTTTTGCCAGACCACCGAGGAAAAACCTCAAATGTCTACAGCATCTGAAAGACCAATTCCCACTATAAACAACAGACGGGAAGATCTAAACAAAATATACGTTTCGGTCACTAAAACATATTTGGATCTTAAAAATATTCCCTTCTCTGAATACAAACAAGTAATCAACGAGTGGGTACAATCTATGACTATTGTTATAATAAACAATCCTACATAGATCACTGATAGATTTTTCGACTATCTAGCGAGAACTATGCAAGGCGATGCTTTACAATATCTTTGAAATTGGGAGGAAACTATAAAAGGATCCGTTCGCAAAAAAGAACTTTTTGACAAGAAAAAAGAAGACCTTTTGAAAGAAGTAACAAAACTTCTAAGAGAGGAATTATGTGGCACTGCTTTAGATCTGAATCTAAAAGAAGATTCCGATTACCGTCTCACAAAGCTAAAACTTTGCAAAATCCAAAGTTTTAAGCCTTTTTAAAAATAATTTCAAAAATGGTACCAAATGTTAGATGAAATCAAATATGAATTTTGGAAAAAAAACAGTTTTTCAACAAACTACCTTCTCCATGGGATGAGATTTATACCGAAATATACGAAAAGTATGTTACTGATACCGCACCAGTAGATACTCTCGAAAATAGAATCAGATTTGTTTTCTACATGATAAAAAATCACTACATCGAAGTAAAAGCAACCAAGCGAGTCAAAAAAGGACTTAAGCATAAACGACTGCACCAAACTTCTAAAAAAAAAAATTGAATTTCGGAGTGATGCAAAAGGAAAGAAAAAGAAATTTTTCGAAAAGAAAAGATTTCGTTGGAAAAAGTGGAAAAAAGGAAAGAAGTTCAACAAGAAGAAAAGGAATGTTGTTAGAAAAAATAACAGCAGACCTAAGAGTTCATGCCGTTGCTATATCTGAAATTAAGAAGGTCACATAGCACCAAACTGCCCCCAAAAAGGGCAAAATGCCAAAAAGATGATCAAAATGCTCGATGAAAACAATTTCGAAATATGCTTTGGAAAACAAATCTCTAAAGATGAATCTGAATTTGAAGTTGCCTCTAAATCTGACAGCGAGTCGGAAGAAGAGGATGAATATGTTTTCATGATGCATCCTGAAGAAAACTCGAAGAACAACTCTGAGATTTTTGAATAACTTTCTATCTGAAATCCCAATTCATTTTGCTATTAAAACTTTCATATGCTCATTCTGTAACATCAGGTGCTATCAAAAGTGATTGCATGGATTCACTGGCCCTCCTCAAATGTAGGCACTCAATTCATGCATGGGGATGGGTTAGTTTCTTCATGAGCAGATCCTGATACTCTCCTTCTGCAGCAAAACTAACCCATGGATGGATGATGTTTTTCCTCCTGATTGTCAGTGGGAAAGCCTTTGGAGGCGTCCAAGACCCATGCAATGCCTTGCGTTGTATGCATCTTTCATTTTCAAAGTTTATAGTGTAGACTGGGAAAGTTTACAGTGTACCGTGTATAGTGGAGCATTGTATTACAGTCTAATTCAAAGTTTGCAGTGTACAGTGTACAATGGAGCATTGTATTAGTATATCACACTGTAATACACTGTATTGTACAATGTATGATATAGCATATTATTGTATAATACAGTATATTACAATGTAATACATTGTATTATACATTGTTTCTTGACCACCCAACATTCCGCTTCACAAAACAAAGTTGGTCTCACAACTGTTCTATAGAACTTGCCCTTCAGCTTCTTTGGTATGCAGTGATCACATAAAACTCTAGTTGCACATCTCCACTTCGCCTAATTTGTTCTAATTTTATGTGCGACATCTTCCTCAATCTCTCCATTTTCCTTGATTATCGATTTAAGATATCGAAAACGCACTCTTTTTGGTATTTCTTGACCATCAATTTTTATTACATTCTCATCTCTACCCTATTAGTACTAGACATATAGTCTATATAATTTGTATTACTATGACAAATTTTAAAACTTTTAGATTCTATAGCATCATTCCAAAGCTCTATCTTTGTGTTAACGTTGTATCAGGTCTTATCGATTAAAACTATGTAGTCCATAAAAAACATACACCAATGTACCTCATATTGTAGGTACCTAGTTAAGTTGTCCATAACTAAGATAAACAGGTATGAGCTCAATGTTGACCCCTGATGTAAACGTATTATCACTTGGAACTCACTTGTTTCTCTACTAGTTGTTCGTACACTAGCCAACAATCCCTCGTACATATCTCTCTTCAAGTAAATGTATTTCAAACCTAAAATATATTTTCAATTAAATAATTATATTTCAAACTTATAACTTATACAAATAAGGACATTAGCTCATCTTCAGTTGCCTAGCCAAAAAACTTGAATACTCATGATTGTTCGAGGTTCCCAACTTGGAAGAAGATTTCGCTTGTGTTAATGTTTTAAAAAAAAAAACTTGGAAAAACATTTCTTTTAATGAAAAACCTTATATTCGATCAAGAATCTGAACAAGCAAGGTAATCTGGTTAGAAAGTTGTATTACTAAAAGGTTTTTTTTATTGGAAAAAGTTTGCATAAGGTTGCAACTTTAAAATGTAGAATTACAGATGCACTTAAAAAATCCATCAGAAAAGGTTGTTTTAATGTTGAAAAAAACCTCTAATTGATCATCTCAACATCAAGATGTATGAATATGAAAAAATAAAAATAAAAAAAAATTTGAGTCCCAGAAATAAGGTATCTTGCAATACAGTATCTAGACTGTCAATTTTCAAAATTTTCATATGCTTTGACTTTAACCATTTTTTGAGATTTGAATTTTATAATTAGATATGGAAATAGATTTTGAAAAAATCTTAAGAATTTTTTTCACCAAAATTTTATGTTATGATACAATTTGGGGGGTATGCCATAATTTGATTGTTTAAGATTGCAACCTTATAAAAACCACACCCTTTTTGCAAACATAGAATAAGATTATAAGAGGCCAAGTGACTTCTAGAAGTAGGCCCTAAGGTCACATCCCCCAAATTCCGGGCTATAAATGTTCGCTGCTAGAGCAAACGTACACGTTGCTCTGCGCGAGCACATAACTCCTCTTCTGCAAAAGAAAAATGTCCCGCCATCTTTTGGCTCTTTGCCCTTTCAAAAGAGAGAGGGGGAGAGCCTAATAAGAAAAAAAAAAAAAAAAAAGACGAGAAACAGAGGCTTGTTAGTGGTATCATTAACGTCTCTCTATACGCTGATTCTGTCTTAAATGGAAGACGCAGATAGACTCTTCGAATGCCTGAAACGAGGCCTTTCTACTCCCGGTAATTTCTCTCTCTCTCTCTCACTCTCGGGATACTTTCATTTACTTATGTGACTAATGATATCTGAAATCTGAATCTTTTCTCTCTCTGAGATTCGCGTGATGGCCATTTCGTCGATTGAAATGTTTTTTTAAAACTTTTCTATCTACAAATACCAATTTTATGGCTGAATTCGGAGTGCTTGATGAATTGAACTTCATTGTACACTTGAAGATTTTAACACTTTCTAATTTTACTTGTAGCCCTTTATTTTTGGGAAATAGTATTCTTCTGCATCTTCATTGAATTGAAATTTTAAAGTGCAAACCCTAATCCCTGATTCCCAGGTTCAACTATTGGATAATGAGTTTGTTGTCTTGTTACTTTGTGGTACTTATGTGGTGAACGCCAATCTTTGAAACATGCCATTCTCAGTGGTTTTGTGATAAGTCTATGATCTTTGATGGAAAAATATTATTTTTCACCCAAAGGTTATGATACAATTTGCTCATGCGCCATTTAAATAAATTTCCAATATTGTGATTTTTTTTTGGGGGTAATTCATACTGTGAATTTTCATTATATTATTTATACGAAGTGTATAAATTTTGCAGCAAAATATATTTATCTCCAACATTGCCGAATCCTAGGGTTAACTTTTTTGGTTACATCCTCATCACCCTCTATGGGGAGTAATGGATATGATTCATGGAGTTTGGGGGCTTGAAAAAAAAAACTTTAGGAGTGATGCCAAATCAAAAATTAAATTTCTCTTCGTTCCTCAAACTTGAAGATTGCCGTTGTGCCTGTCATTGATGAATCTTTGAGGAAACTAACAAATTTTTTTCCTCATCAAGTGTTTCCTTTCATCTATTGAGAACTCAAGCCTTCCTTTTTCTAAAGAGCTTTCATTTGTTTCTCGTTTCTCCATGGAGAGGGTCCATTGGCCATTTAGAGATATGGCTTGTTATGACACTTTTTCATTTGTATTTGATCTTGGGAAACAAGCATTTGCATGAATGACCAGATGATGCAATCAATGAAAGGTATTCTACTTCTGTTTTACAATCTCTTTGGGATATTATCTAATGCAGGCAACCTATTAAGCCTGGCTAGCTTGCTAAAACTATTTACTATGAAATGAAATAGATGTTTCCACCCTTTACATAGTTTATTATGCCATAGGAAATTTCAGAAGTTCATTTCCCAAGATGTCTTGATAAAAAAAGTGGCATTACACACTTATGTCTGAGTTATATGATGTGTCCATTTGGCTTTTGGCATGGGCACCTTATCCATCTTGTTTTGAAGATTATTCATTCATAAAGAAGTGGAGCAAGGGAGAGACCTAGTTGTTGGGAGATAAAACCTTGAACTTCTCTATTCTTTGGATAACCTAGAATCTGGTAATAAATCGATTATATGTATCGTTTCTCCTAGAGATAACTTATAGATCGACAAATCATTTGATGAAAGCACAATCTCTTAAGGGCACTAGGGCTACGACCCAATAACTAATGACGGAATAAACAAAATAAATACTGAATTTCTCGTTGAGAGGCAAAGTGAAATAGTAAAAGTCTAGAAAAATGATTCAAGTGAAAGAGATATAATAAATAACAGTGTTACGAGAAAACTTCCCCATAATACACCTTATGTACAAGACTTTAACAATATGTTAATTTATATAACAAGGTACTATATGAGATTGTTTGCTATTGAAGTTTCATGGGGTTGATATGGTGTCATTTCTTTTAATCCCAAAAATAATATTGCAAGAAGCACTTTTGGGCAGACAAGCGAAGATGATATCATGGCTCATACATATTAATAGGATGCTGGTATATTTGAAGAGAAAGTATGCAATAAAGCTATGTGCTTTTTGTACAAGGAGGTCAAAATTACCCTTAGTCATTAGATGTGAAATTGGGTGGCCGGGGGTGTGCTTTTTACTAAGCTTAGAGTCCTAGAAGAATTTTCTGGGACTTTGTGAGACACACCAAGTTGTCTTTTTTCACATCTGATGACTAGAGGTGATTGTGACATTCTTGTACCAAATGTAAATTGTCATATAGTATACTGTTCTAAATTTGAAATGCATTAGGCTGGAGCCATTGGATGAAATATATGTTGAATCGATACCTATGGATGCACCTAATTATTCTCAGTTGTAGGTTACCAAATGAATACTGCCGCATAATAGAAGGTACTCCTGTTCATTGCATGGATTTTTGTCCTTAATATGACCAAAATTATGTTGGCATGTTACTTTTCATTCGGCTAGCATCCTTTATGTTAGTTGATGCTGTGCAAGCTAAAACTTGTTTAAACAATTTGTTCATTTGAGCTTGATGCAATGAATTGAAGATTAAAATGAAAAGAATGATGTCATTGTTTATTTTTTTGTTTTTTTTGTTTTTTGCATTTTTCAAACGTAGAGCTCTTTTGATTATTCCTTAGTCCTTTACTATTCTGATGGTTAGTTATATAAAGTTTACAACCCTTAGTAGAAAAAGAATTATATAAACTATGGATATTCATCGTACTTACTGAATTGACTGTGTTTTTTTAGAATTAGAAATGATGATATTCCTAAACAGAAACTTGGGTTGGATTTACCAGAGCCCATGATGAAAGCAAGAAAGAAAAGCTGTGAACTCATAGGGCAAACGAGTTCGAGATGTCAGGAACCCTCTGGTTATGCTGAATTTGCTTCACCTGGTTCACCAACAAAGCGCCAGCAAACTATGCTTAACAAGCAGCTTTCAATAGAGAAAGTGGGTACTTCTTGGCATTCCTATTATTGTGCTTATGCTCACAGTGCCTTACAATGACTATAAGGTAGTAGGAACATTGAATAATTATTTATTTTTGGTTCCCGATTGGCAACAAATTCAGTTTAATGACAATTTGGAAAAGACCAATAGGTTGCTAATATTGCAACTGTTTTCTTCTCATATTACTACTGTTGATTATTTGGTTATTGCTCACATTCCTTAGTCTGTGGATTTAGCTCTCTCTACAAACTTGAAAGATGCAACCAATGAAAGTGGACCTTACAATATGTATTTGGAACAAGTTCCTTTACAAGGTTTCCTTGAAATTAGCTCTAAAGCAGCTGTCTCCAAAATCCTTAGTAGATTGTTAAAACCACCACAAAGCATCTATACTTTGCATGTACAATAGTTGAGTTAAAGAGATTGCAAACATCTTGAAACATTCTATTATAGATATAGTATCCAAGTGCAGATTTTATTGAGTACTTTAATACAATCGACAGAGATCCCTGCCGCGCCTCCTCTCATCCTCCCAAAAAGCTCCAGCAATACCAAAACATTAATATTGCTTTCGGCAGCTACTATCGGTCGGCGCAACATTGTTCCATATTCAATGGCGGAACCGTTCTCAGAACGGCAATCAAGAAGTTGGAACAATCCTAGGCCGGAGAAGAAAAATTGTTGACAATTCTAACCCAGAGCATGTACTAGTATAATATGTCTATTGATGTAGGATCACATGGGCTTGTTTATCAACGAGTGTGGTAAAGGCTTGGTGGACTACATCTATGTAAGTTCAGCAGGGTTTATTTTAGATTATGTACTCCTATATTGAGTAGGAGTGGATTGATAACACACCTAAATGGGGTAAAACTAAAACTAAGTCTATGGGGGAGGATTTGGTGAGGTTAAGATTAATGTTTTAATTAAAAGAGGAATAAGCCCCAAGCCTCGGTGGTCAGTGTGGTTGGGCCCTAACATGATATCTCAGGTTCCATATCTACCTATTGTACAAACAAAAAATGTCAACATGTCAAGAAAACATTTCAATGGAGATTAAAGGTGCGCCGATTTAATAGTCCAACATGATAAAGGGGTGAAAGGAACTCATATGAGGGTTGGTTTTACAATTGAAAAGACTAATACGGTTTCTTGGGAGCTGGTTTTTCTAGGGTTTAGAAGAGCTTTTGAGATGATGGAGGTTGGGTTTTCCATGGGTGGTGGGATAGATAAAAACGAATTAAAGAGGAGAGAAATGATAAAGGAAAAAGAAAACCCTAGGTCAACACCATATGCAAATTGGGAGACCTAGAACTAAGTTGGCATCAACATCAGCGTGAAGACTTTATTTTTCGAGTACTTCTCTTGAGCATGCAACATAAAGAAAGCTATACAGTGCTTTCTTGGGCTTAGTTGTGTCATGTAGTATTCTTGCCACAACCTAATTGCTTCTCAGATTTTTCAAGTCAAGGGCATCAAATACCTCAAAGATAGCTTGAGTATCTCGTGCCTCTAGGTCCGATTGTTAAAGCGAAAGGTTAATTGTGTCTCTGATAGTGTTACCTAGACACTTGACATAAGGTTGGTATTACGTGTCGACACAGATACATGTCGATGTGCATAGACTGGTCCGGCACTGTGACCATATGTATCAAGCATTTTCATAAAGTTTTAGTACGTGTCGACAATTTATATTAAAGTGTCATCACTTTTCTTAACATAAGAACCTTAAGGTCCTTAACGGCCTTAATAGGTCTCCATATTAAGTCCCAAGGCGTACGTTTTTAAAGTGCTTTTCAAAATAGGTCTCCATGTCAAATCCCAAGGAGTACCTATTTCTAATTTGTTTTTTAAGAAACATCACCGTTTAGGTCCATGTTGCTTTTTGTAAAGTTCCAAAACATTATGATCAGCATCAAGGTTGGAACCTTTGGTGTATTGATAGTGAATGGTAAGGGCCACCGTCAACGAAGCCAACGTGATGTTTACATAATTAATTATAGATATAGTTATTAGGAAAAGGTTTCTATGCTTCCCATACTGCATAGAAGTTCTATCTTCCCCCTACCATCCAGCCGTCCAATTTTGATCAAGAGGGCCACCCACCGTTTGATTTTCGCTAGTGCTAGTTTAATAGAGAAACAGATATCCAAAATTTGGTGTCAAAATAGTTTATAGAAAAAAAAATTAAAAATGAAATAGTGTAGAGACGTGACATTGTGATTGGGGCAATCTTAGCCCTCCATTCAGAATGGATGGTTGGATAAAAGGGAGGATAGAACTTCTATGCTGTAGGGGAAGCATAGAAAGCTTGCCCTAGTTATTAACTACAATATAGTTATTTACTAGGAAAAAACACCTTTAATAAAAAAAATTCCTTAATGGAAGTTTTTTAAAGGATCATTTTTAAAAATATGATACATAAATAAGTATGTTTGTTACCTTTGTTGCATAAAATAAATTTATATATATATATACATGGAAAAAGCTAACAAACACTTGGCAACTATAATGAATACTAATATAAGTGGAATTCTAGCCGTCACATCTTCATTGGGTGGTGCAAAATACATATCACTATATGAATTTTAATCTTTTTTCTAGAAATCGGATCGTGGTAAAATTTTGGACATATGTACTAAAAAATGGGCTTAAAAACCCAGTACGGCCCCGACACGTCCATACAATTATATATATAGAGAGTAAATCTTTATCCCTTGGTTTAAAACACAAATCACTATTTGAATTTTAGTCTATTTTCCATAAATCAGATTGAGATGAAATTTTGGGTGTATATACTGGACACTATTGCGCACCATATAAAAAATATAAAAACAATAATTATTAACTAATAAATAAGTAACTAAACAATAACTACTAAACTAATAATAATTTAGTTTAAGTTTTATTTAATTTTAGTTT